GCCATTCTCTATAAGGCATCTAAGGCAGCTACAAGCCTGTCCGGCCACAGAGATCATAGTAAATCTGGCCATTTGCCCTTCTGGAGCTGGTTGGCTGATTTCACATCCCATAGTGAAACCAATCTGTATCAGTGCACCCTCAGTCTAACTAGATTTACTAGGTGGTGCATGAAAACAGAGAAGAGAAAATCTGAGAACTGGGAGAAAACCCAGTCTCTGGTTATAAGTTAAGGATGCCAGAGACTGCGACATTATAGTCCCTCACCCCTCCTAACCCCTAGGTTTTGCTAGTTCTTTGGTGCAGCTGACACTGTAAAAAACTTGGAATTAGTTTAGATCTTTAAAATTTCTTAGCCTTGTGGTATAAATACACGGAAATTAAGGGATTTCCATCAGGGTAAGGCAGTATATGGGAAATCCCCAAAACCTCATTAAAAAGCTAAGCTCATCTCAGGATTAAATGCTTAGGTTATGTATTTAAAGTGAGAGTGTGCCACTCCCATGTGTGGTAGCCTGACAGCATGCCCAGAAGATGAAGTTTGGCATGATTCTTGACGGTCTCTCACAGTTCTTCTTGGTGTTGACCTATGTGGAACATGGACCCTTTGAAAAACACTGTGACACCCTCTGGCAACTTGGGTTGAGTTGCAGAGTTAGCAGCCATCCATGCTTTTTAGCTAGGGCCAGTGAAAGCAGCATTGGCTGGGGTTAAGGCTGCCATGTTTCTGTTTTGTTGGGGTAGATTAATAGAAATTGTGCCTGTCCTGTTTCTATCAAGGACTGGATAACCCTGTGCCTGGTCAGTGTGCAGTAAAGCTGTAGAGGACAATGCAGAACACTTTGGTAAGGCTTCCAGTGAACTGTTCTTTTAGCTGGCTTCTTTGTCAGTGACTTCTTTGGTTTTCTTCCCTATTAGCTGACCTTGTTATAGCTTTGAGACTCTAGAAACAAATTCCTTATTTGAAAAAAATAAGGGCCTCTTACTTAATTCTTTCAATATTTCAGAACTGGTGGGAAAAAATACGCCAGAATTCACCTCCTGGCAGTTTCAACTTCCTCAATCCACTGAAGGTGACAGCAAACAGTTACGCCTTTTCAAAGCACTGAAGTGCCAGGGTTATGTTCCTAAACTAGAGCTACACATCTACAATGTGAAGGTAATATGTGAGTACTGATTGTTCATAGCAGCAGAAATACCTTTCTGAATAAAGATGTTCACATTTCAGTCACTACAAATATAGAAGTTCTAGCTCTTCTTTTTCTTCCTCTCACTACTTACATATCCTAAGCATGCTTGACAACAATCCCTTAACTGCTACTACATTTCGGTGTTGTATATGTTTTTATTTATATATGTATATAAAACTGTATACCTATAGCTCTTGTATCACACTGTAAAGCAAAAAAAAAAAAAACACTGAAATACTAACTTCTGCCTAAGTTTTCTCAAAGAAGGACTGCCCTGCCTTACTCTTTAGCACTTTTAAATGCGACTGGATTTTCAGTACTTTTAAATCATGCTCAGAATGAATTTAATCTACTTTCACAGCTATTCTATGCAAGTTGTCTACAAACTCAGTTCAAATACTAGTTGTCTTAATGAAGGATTCATGCATCTCTGCTCTAAATTCTGGAATCTGACTCTAATACAAATTTTATACCATCAAGACACTGTGCTTTCAGTTACATCCACTTTTGTTTATAAAAAGTGCAGGAAAGGCTTGTTGTTGTAATTGCTTTCTCTGTTGAAGCCCACATGTTTAAGTGAGATGTAATGTTATTTGTTTTCTTTACGTCACTATTGCATCCAAAAACCCCAGATACTTAAATATTTCTAACAAAGCAAATGAAATTAACATACGATCATTTCTCAGTTGACAATGAAGCCTACAGCAATCGAGAAACCAGACAGAGCTCCTTAAAAATTATTTTCTTGAAGGATTTCACTGCACTTGCTGCCTTATTTTCTGAATAACCACATGCATCCTTCACTGGCGTAGTGAGATCTGCTTAGTACAACTCTCTCTAGAACTTTTTACTAGCCACAAATCACAATAAAAATTGTACTTACAACGACAAAGATGGACAGTCCTTCATTCTCCACCCAGTTACCCATGATTGCCTGAGACGAGCGTGCACAACAGCCCCGTTCTTTCTGGGACAGTGTCTATGTCTTCTCTCATAAGGAAGTGAGAGCAGAAGCTTGCAGCAACCTGTTTCCTTTATCATTCATTTGGGAAATAAGTAACCATTGAATCATGTCCATAGTTCTGTTTCAAACATGTTTCTACCATCTTTACATATAACTTAATAATTCAAATATATATAGACTGTTGAAATAGACTGTTTTTTCCTTGTGATACAGAGGATAAAATCAATAACTGCTCAGGTTTTCTGCTAAAAAATGTTTTGCCACTTTATATAATTTTCAATGCTGAAATGTAATACCGAATGCACAGAAGAGTTATCTCTTCCCAGACTTGTCTTTTTTTATAACCTCAGGTCTGAGTTCCCATTCCTGCTGGTTGTCTTTGTTAAGTAATCACTAAAATTATTTCTCTTCCAGTAATTCAATGTCCACAGGAGCTTCCAAATGTAATCTAACACTCATCTTGTCTGGTACACACAAGCCTTGCTACTTCTTCTCTGCTTGGGACAAAACTGAGGACATGTGTCACTAGATAGGCTATTTTTCATATTTAGCATTCTCGCAGAGTCCCCAGCCCCAGGAACCATGTCACTATATAAGAAAAAAAATAAAGTAAGCATTTTGCTTTTGTGATTAGAGTGAAAAATATGATAAATTGCCCAAGTATATTTTAGAGCTTACAAGCCAGAGGATATTTATCCCAAGTGTATTTGTTAAAAAAAAAAAAAAAAAAAAATTAAGGGAGTTTAATGATTTTTGAATGTTTTGCCTCTGTGGCATCACAATTCCCAGACTTGCAATAAAGAGTGCAAAATGGTAGTTTGGAGGAAGCTTTAGAATTAAGAGGAACCATCCTTCATCAAGGTCCAGCCCCTAGGGAGGAGCAAGGTGTCCAGACATGCCTCCTGCTGGCTCATTCTCCTGTGTATTCCACCCACTGTGCTACAGAAATACAGATCTCCTCCCCAAGTGACCAACAAAAGTCTGTCTCCTTTCAAAGCAGTGAGGTGTATGTATGGTGTTCTTTAAAGATCTTTTTAGGCTTTAGAAAGTAGCAGAAGGGCAGTTTGAATGGTGGTGTCTCTCTGTGGGAGCTGCGACACCCTGTTGGACCCTGCAGAATTTCATAGCTGCGAGTGAAAAAAGCCTGAGTGAGCCCGGTGTAGCCTTGCACCTTGCTAACAGCTTTAGAGCACAGCGACATTTTCACAGGCCTGATCCTGCACCTACTGGAGTAAACAGCAAGCTTCTTATCGCATTTGTATGACTGAAGTTTGCTCTCCAGAGTAAATGCTGATCCGATCCGCAACTGAAAGCAAGACGTTGAACAGCTAATGAGGGCAAGAGCTGGAGAGGTGGGATAAAACCTGTGTGACTCACGGCCATCAGAGAAGAGACTCAGCACAGTCTACTTTACCCTGGACTCACTCAGAAACTAAGCTTTCTTAGGGCCTGGTTCTGGCAGTGATGAGACATTTGGTCACGATGTAAAAATGAGCATGGGGGAGCGGGGTTGAATGCCTGTGTTCTGGCTAGCAGCTCTCTTCCTGCCTCTTACTTCCAACTTACAACTGCCTTCATTAACTTTCTCCTGGAATATGGCCTCCATAAGGTGACATAACTGGGACTCGAACAAAGATCCATTGCAGAAACAAACTCCTACATTTCTACATTTTTCTAAAACAAACAGACAAACACAGCTATCTCATACAGGTGACTTCTGCATTATTATTCCTTCTTGAGACATATGGAAGTTACAGCTCAAATGTAGCCCAGGGATGAAGAGCAGTCCTTCACCTCCTCACATAGGCAGGACTGGCAGTGTTTTAATCATCTTCCTCCACAGAAGCCTCCCAAGCATAAGTAACCTAAATTAAGTCTTCAAAACCTGTTAAATGGGGTTTGCAGCAATCTCATTTGACAGGTTCTGCAATGGGCCAGGCTCTCACGTGGTATCAGTCGCTTTGATGGCCATCCCAAATGGATGTCAGCAGAGGGTCTGGTCCTCCTCATTTTTGTTTATGGAAGTAGCCTTTGAGAGCTAAACAGCTAGAGTGGTTGGGGAAGGAAAGGAGGGGGGCAGTTCTGATTTGGGGATGTCCATTCTTGCTATGAAGACTAGCCTGTTCTCCCTGCCCAAAAATGGTAGTGCTCTCGCTGCCTTTTTCTTCCCCTTAGTTCAGGCTAAGTTATTTACAGCTTTTCTGGGGTGAGCAAGTGCAGGCAGCCAGGATGCTCTGAGCCTTGGCAGCCCTGCCGTGCCTGGAAGCTCCTCAGGCACCAGAGCCACTGAAACATGGATTTAGTGGCTCAGGAGGTTTCTGGCAGGCCACAAACCCAGCAGGGGCTGATCTTAGATCAGTCTCATTAGTCGCAAAGTCTGACATCCTCGTAACAGCCTGAATACAGGTCATGAAACAGAATATATTTCAGTAGCTCCCAGCCTACGAATTATCAAATGCACACAGCTGATCTCACTGCCTGAACTCAAAAGAAAGGGTAGAGGTGCTTGGCCCTTCCACAGCTGGTGAGTTCTGGTGCTCCCTGATGTTTGTGAGTTTTCCCATTAATTTCAAAAGTGATGGGACAATGCACAGCAAACTTTGCCTGGTTGCTGCAAGTGACAGGTGTGAGTAGAACTGGTACCAAACCCACCCACGCATCACCCCTGATTTAATTCTGGTGCTTGCACCTTCTGAACGAGTGAAACATCATTGCTGTAATATTACAAAGACTTGCATGTTTTGTACTTTGATCTAATTTAAAAAATGCACCCTGTACAAGAAAAGGCAGCATTGGCAGCTGTGTATTAATTACGTAGGAGTATGTAAAACTGGAGTATGGGAAAACTTAACACTATCTCATTCTGTTTCTAAAATTTCTTTTAAGCTAGCTGATTACACACAACATTTTTAATCCTTTGCACTGAAAAGTTCGGGGAACTCAGATTCTTTTGCAGCATGACAGTTTTGCGAAAGTATGTAGGTCGCGGGGTTCTGCATTTCCTTGCAGTAATTTTACCCCCTTGCTTCGGAATTAATTTAGTTCTCCTGCTCTGTGCAATAGTTTTCTGTGTATTCCTGCACAAAGTTAATGCCAGACAGTTGCAATAGGCCCAGATGTTTCACACCTGCCTCCTAAAAGGGACAATGTAAAATTCTGCATGTATAAACCCCAAAAGAGAGAGTGATAAGAAAAAACAGAGTAAAGCGCCCCAGCTGCTGCATTGCTGAGGATGTTGCTGGGCTGAGGTTGCTGAGCTCCTTCCCACGTAGCAGGAGGAAAGCCAAGAAGAGACCTCACTTAGCCTCTTTTATTTTGTAGGCTGAAATCTTTATTTCGAATGCCGTGCATTCCTTGTTTACCAGCCTTCCCTAGATTCTACACCAAAGAGGGAGAAGCAGACAAGAGACTTGTCATCTTTCCTGAAGGGACTGCCTTCACATGCAGCCTGAAGCTGTCACTGTATGCACTTGCCTTCACTCAAGGGAATGACAGTCTGACACTCCTGCTTTTTCTGTTTTGTTTACAAGAGAAATGTTTCCATGTTGAAATGAGGGCAGAGAAGTATATAGATATGAGCCAGGAAAAAAATGCCAGTGAGACTCCAATGATGACTGGCAGATCCTTCTATGTCTTTGTTTTACACTATAACCCTCAATGCAGCTCCCTGCTCTGGTACTTCCTCACAGTGCCTTTTGCAATGATCATGAGAGACCCACATGATGTAGTAAAAAAAAAAAAAAACATGTATGATCAACATGCTATTGGCCATATCAGTCTTGGCTTGAAGTCAAACAGCACTAGCACGAAACAGGCCAGAATGGCTGCGCACTGCTATGCTATTGGAAGGAAGAGCCACCACCAGTGATGTACCCTGTTTAGACAGATAGAAATTGTATTCTATTAAGCTGGCAGTAGCTTCCAGGTGGAGCTGGAGTAGAGTTAGGATAGCATAACCTCCGATGCATAAAGGCAGAGGCCAAAATAGAATAGAGATCATAGAATGCTTTGGGTTGGAAGGGACCTTGAGAGATCATCGAGCCCAACCCCCCTGCAGTAGGCAGGGATTGAACCTGTGAACTTGGTGTTATTAGCACCGTGCTCTAACCAACGGAGCTAACCCGGCTGGTCATAACCTGGCTTTGTGTGGGACCGAGGGAGAAGAGCCCAGCTTGTAGCCTTTTGGCAGGGTACCAGGCTTTATTATCTGCTAGTCTGGCTCTGGGACTGGCACACAGCTGTCATCTATTTGCTTCTCTCTGTGTAGCCAGGCTTCTCTTCCCATGGCTTCAGATCCACTACCTTTACACATGCCTGTGATAGCCCGGTGTAACTCTTCTCTGCCTGCAGAGAGGGACTTCACCAGAATCTGTTGACCAGCAATTTCCCACTCAAGAAAACGTCTCCAGTGATGAGAGAGGGAGGGCAGGTTTCCCCTATGCTCTTGCCGTTCATCGCCTAGAAAACTTTCAACCCAGCCCCAGCAAACCGAGATTTCCCCAGCTGAGCCGTAGCTGGCGGGAAGCCGGCGGCTCACCAGGCTGTGACCGCGCAGAGGGTTGCTGCGGCGGCAGCGCGGCTCGGCAATGCCACCCGCTGGGCAGCAGGGACCCCAGCCGGGACCCCACATCGCTCACGGGGCACGCTTCAGCTGAGGGTGCTGGCCGAGACGTGCCCACTCTGTCCCAGACCTTGCCAGCGTATGCACCTCCCCCCGTGCCCCCTTTTCTATTGCATCCCTGTTCAAAACCTCTTTCCTACTTTTCCCCCTGCCTGTGACCTCTCTTTCAGTGCTGGGATGTCAAATCCCATTTCTAATTAGCAGCTCATGATCACAGTCTAGGAAAGGACCTCCAGAGATCAATTAGCCCACCTCCCTGCGTCCAGCTAGGATCCACTAGAACTGTATCACTCCTGACACACATTTACATCACCACTTCCACAATTAGAAATAAGCGAGGTGCCTCACAGCCTGCCGTAGCTGTGCTTT